CATTTACAACGTTGCAATCGTCTCTCTGATACAATATTTCAAGATCACCGTTTCCAAGCCCTCTCTTCTTCGCCTATTTCCTCTTCATCGTTTTCGTCGATTAGCTGATTTTCCTCTTCTGACAACTAAACAGAAGAATTACATACAGCGAAATGCAACCTATCACCAACGTCATCATCGAGCGACGCAAGTATCGCTTCAGCCGACATCTCCTGACCAGCTGACACCTCATCCACCGCTCCGTGTTGCGCAGCTCTGGCACTGCTTGCCCACTGAATCTCCAGTTTCCGGCCAAGAAAATCACTTCCAAGAGCAAATGCCTGCAAACAAAAAGTCAGGCATAATGAAATCAGTGAAATCAGTGTCTCCCAAACTCCGAGGCACTCCCTTGCAGTACAAAGAGTGTTTCAAAGAAATACAATCAAAAAAGACATCAGAACAGTTGGGTTTCAAAAGTATTTGGACACAATTCAGTACAGGCTAAGAAAGAAAGAAATGTGACTGTACAGGAAAACAAGAAACAGAGTAAAATGCATTTGGGAAGCACCGAATCAAGTCTAAGAACAAAACTCACAACTTCAGCGTCCTTTCTAGCTCGATAAAGAACAATTGCTTTTGAGACAGCATTCTTTTCTTTGTTCGGCAAATATTCAATGTCCTCCAGTGCTCCGAACTTTTGGAAATGGTCGATGATTAAATCTCTCTCTTCGAACATGAAGCCTGAGACCAACAAATCTCTAGGCCTTTTATCTAACGTGGCACTGCGAGGAATCTTCTTATTTCTCAAGTGACCAGCTACACCAGTAATAAAGCCTTTTCCGGAATCGAGTCTTGCCATACCGTCAGAAGAAGTAAGAAGACTGATTTCATTGCGCAACTCCGTCAGCCTCCGTTGAAGATCACTCGTATCACCACCAACCTGTTGTTGATTGATCATTTCCAGTTCCATGTCCAACATCTCTCTTTCAAGCTAAATCAAAACCCTTTCTTGAAGTTTTAAAAGCTAGGAAAAATATTTAAACCAAACAAAACAAAAAAATTTTAGTTGACGCTATATGTTAGTCAATTCAGTGACGAAAAATAGGGAAAAACTAATCTGCAACTGAAATTATATAGTGGAGGTTTTGACGAAAGAATCCGCAACGCAAACAAAATGGAGGAACGTTAAAACAGTTGTTTCCATACATCCTACAGTCAGGGGCAACAAAAAACAATCGAGAATATTCTAAATATTTTAATTTCAAAATTTTGACTAAGAGATCCGCGAGGGCCTTGGTGTACAGCTGCTGCTTCTTCAGATTGAAAACAACTGCGATGCTTTGGGCACGTGTTTAGAATGCCTCCAGAAAGGAAGGCTAATCAACTGTTTCCTGCCAAACCGATTGGCAGAAGGCCCAGGGGACGGTCAAGATTAACCATGTGCAAATATATGAAAGGAGTCTGCTTCAGACTCCAGCTATTCTCTGCCGAAGCTCAGACTCTAACTGAGGATCGAGTACGTTGGAAATAGTGTCTGACGCGTCTATCTCCGCGACCCAAAAGGAAAAGCGGTCAAGAACGATGAAGATTACGATCAAAGTACAAAGTCTGCGGAAGTTTCGCAGTGTTTTATAGCACATTCCATGTGAATGATAACTAATGAATTCACAGGCTGACTGGACGGCCCAACTGTTTGCGCTACTTGAGCGGTTCATGATTTGGACAGCGACATATTTACTGAACCAAAAGGAATATCAGCTAATGTAGGAGATGCTCAATGACTGGAAGCACTAAGAAGGATGACCGAATATTTACGAGCCAATGAGACAGACAACGACAAAATTAGCATGGTTTATTATAAGTCTATTCATTAAGAAAGATGTGGTCATCAGAAGCGATGAACAATTAATACAATATTTCAAATAATTTTGTGCTCATAACCACTAAATTAGAAAACTGTAATTCTTGTTATCTGCTGGCAATAAATCAACATGACCTTCCAAAGATATGGCTGACAGAATCTAGTGAAGTGTTGCTGTTACTGTTATCACCATCACTAGTTTATTTGGATTCACTAACGCCTAGTACTGATGGTTTAAACCTCGGTCGATCAAAAAATTCCGCCAATCTTCGTACCCGCATGCTTCCGGCTACGACAGCACTTCAATCTCAGCTATGCCAGAGTTTCATAAGATCTTAGCATGCCCACCTCTTCTTCAATGCCATCCAGAGATTAAAGTAATGCTTAGTGCAATGAAAGTTATATCGTGTGATAGACGTCTCACATGTGCCCTAGCAAACGCAGTCGCAGTTATTTCCGAACAGTAAAGGTGAATGACGTTGCAACGGCGAGGATGTTAGTGTATGGTCGACATATGAAATGCGTCGTAAACACCAATGGTCGAAGGATGCTAGTTTACTCTTGTCTTTCATTTATGGGTTCAGCTTTCACAATCATAAAAGATGGAGGAAATGGCGGCCTACAGAACTTCGCAAAGGGATCTCCCGTTGTCTCCACAGCGGCTTGCAGGGCTGAATGAAAGTCCCCTTCTGTTGCTGCAATTTCATCTTCTGGTAAACCGTTATCAGTTGATTTACGCTGACACCCAGGGGAGCAAAAATATCATACTGAACTCACCGCAGATCTTCCTTTACTTCTCCTAACGTTCTTCATATTCATCCTATTCTTCAACGATGCAACAATTATGAGGAATGGAAAAACGTTGCTCAAATAATGATCACTACGCTGAAACTCAACTTAATTCAAAACACAACAGAAAAGTTTTTAGAAATGAATCATCAATACCCTCTCGAAGAGGTACCTTGCATTGCATGCAGATTTCTTACCAAAGAAGTGCACTTTAAAGGGGAATATCTGCTTTTCAAACATTTTTTCCAAAATGGTAGGCAGTCAATATTAACCATCATTGCAAATTTTATCATTAAATAGTCTGCCTAAAAGAAAATTCTAACCAGCAATAAGTACTGATAGCAACTGCTCGCATTTACCGCGACGAGAGTTTTTTTAAAGCACAAATTCTACATTTAAACAGTTTGGCTCATATGCACTGTGCTGAAAAAAAGAGAACGGACAGGGGCACCTTAAATACACTGAACGCCAATCAGATCCGCGGATAACACATGAAAGGAGGCGGACAAGTTAAACACTAATCAGAAACTGTATGTCTGGCTTGGCAGAATACGGATACATACTGTGAAAGACACAAGACTGACTGAACTCGGCGGCAGACATTGCACGTGATCGATCGAGCTGACAAACAGTGATCCGAGATCTCAACAGAGCCAATGATGGTGGCAGCCATAACGACACAACAAACATTAATATAGACCGTTCTTACATTCGACTCGTACAGATATAACTCGATATGAACTAAAGAATCTATTGATAATATGTTTAACGTCCCTGTCGCGAGAAGCAGACACTGATACACTGAAGAAGTAACGGTTGACATCGGAGAATGACAGAATTTTTTTGTTTTATGAACCAGTTCAGAACAGAAGCAAAATACGTAGGCAATCCGTCTGAATAAAAGGAGGCGTTCTTATAAATCTCTGAAGAAAGCGCGATAAACACTGTTTTACACTGTGCGATCCCACTCATCAAAACATACGCATGCAAGAATAATATGATTTCTGATGGATGATGTTAACGAAAGGAAAGAAAATAACACCCGTAAAAACTAGAAATCCATCGTCTTTACCTTGTTCAGACTTGTACAACAACGTTGTCATTACCCAGAACGTAGGATGGCATTTTTATCGTTTGTCAAATGAAGTCACAACTTTTGCATCTCAGAAATTATTCTAAGTTCAGTAGTTTCAGTAATTCGATAAATGACTAATAAAAAGCAACCTTGAAAATTTCTACACACTGTCTCAAAAAAGTTTAGTAACGAAGGAATGTGTCCATAAATGATGTACTTTCAAAATCACATGCCAAACTTCAGTAGTCTTACAATTTTAACTGCAGAGTCCCGTTATGGCAAACAGGCAAGCAGAGAGAAAGGACAAAAAAGCTGCATACTACGAAAAAAGTATGATGCTACTAATTTGCCATTAAGATAACTGAGACATACCATACAGGAAAAGATATTTTCTAACCGGTATACCTAACAGGTTCTAGGTTCTCACATCGCGTGATCATCATCTGCATTGCTACTCCATCCGGCAGGAGTGCTGCCTTACTATTAACAGCAGTACGTAGAGCTAAATGGTCAGCATGGTCGCACAGATTCTTGTCTTATTCTCATATATCTACATCAGATTTACCGACTTAGCTTCTTCGGCCTTCCCAACCTGCCATGGACCAGAAGCTATAAACTATCTACACAATAATAATGGACATTGCAGGTCTCTTTACTACTTGAAGACTAAGAGATAAACGGTGAACATAAACCTAACACGAAGATGCGGAATTCAGCCTGTATCTACTTAGAAAGATAAGCATGATTAAACTCCGCCGTTGTCGGTACCAAGGCCGGAAAAGAAAGCAGGAGAGTTGAAGACAGTGGCGAAGTCTTCGAATGACTTAGCCACCTACAACTCACGGTACTTACGACATCGCAAATTATACAGGATCGGTCGTCCCCGGATTACCAAGGGCCGTGCATTCTGTTAGGAGAC